TAACCAATACAGATGACCATGGCAGGGAGGGATAATAGCGTGTACTCTGTTGGGTGATGGTGCCTCCCACCTGTAATCCTAGCTATTTAGGAGTCTGAGACCTGGAGCATTGAGATTTGAAGCTAGCCTGGGGAGGAAAAGTCATTAAGACTATCTCTAATTAACCAGCAAAAATCCAGGCTGGAGGCATGGTTCAAGTGTCAGAGTATCATCTGAGCAAAGAAGCTGAGTGAGAAAGCAAGGCTCTGAGTTCAAGCTTCAGAACCAGCCAACGACATGCCCATTTTCAAAGATATTCTATGGTGTGGCTGGGAAGGTGGATCAGTGGTAGAGTGCTTTCCTTGCATGCATGAGGCCCTGGGTTTGATTCCTCAGCACCAAATAAGTAGAAAAGGCTGGAAGTGGTCCTGTATCTCAAGTGGTGGAGCACTAGCCTTGAGCTGAAATGCTGAGGGACAGCGCCCAGGCCCAGAGTTCAGGCCCCAGGACTGACCAAAAAAAAAAAAAAATCTATGGTAAATCTTAGAAAAATGAGTGAAGGAGCTGGGCACCGGTGGCTCATACCTGTCATCCTAGCTACTCAGGAGGCGGAGATCTGAGGATCATGGTTTGCAGCCAGCCCAGGCAGGAAAGTCCATGACTCTTTTTTTTTTTTTTGGGGGGGGGGGGGGGGTTGTCTGGTTGTGGGGCCTGAACTCTGGGCCTGGGAGCTGACCCTCAGCTCTTTTAGCTCAAGGCTAGCACTCTACCACTTGAGCCACAGCGCCACTTCCGGCTTTTTTCTTTTTGCTTATGTGGTGTTGGGGAATCGAACCCAGGGCCTCATGCATGCAAGGCAAGCGCTCTACCACTGAGCCATCTCCCCAACCCAAGTCCATGACTCTTATCTCCAATAAACCACTCAGAAGGAGCTGGAAGTGGCGTTGTGTGCTCATGTGGTAGAGCACTAGCCTTGAATACAGATAGGCTCAGGGACAGAGCCCAGAACCTGAGTTCAAGCACCAGGACGGACAAAAAAGATAAAAGGAAATATGAGTGAAGGGGTAGAGTGTACTTCAGTGACAGAGTGCCTGCTTAGTATGCTTGAGGGCCAACCCCAGTACTAGGGGAAAATGAAAAAAGAAACGTCACTAAAGCAACAGTTAAGTGATTACAGTAAAGATGAGTGCCTGGCCTGCAGGGGGAGCTGCAGGGGGAGCTGCAGAGGAGCTGCAGGGGAGCTGCAGGGGGAGCTGTTCTGCTTCTTGCCTGCCTGGTGGCCAGGGTTCCCCTGTGCCCCTGAGAAAATGGATCAGCCAGGACTGAGAACCCCTCACCCCAGGCTGCTAGGGGAGCAACCCCACATAGCGGCCCTGGAGCTGTGTGCCGTCTGCCCCAGGATATCGTGTCTCCCCCCAGCACGGGGTTTAAGGTCTGTACTCGCTACTTGGAGCCTGCTAAACGAAAGCTCTGTGAGGCTGGGCCCAGCCTGTCTCTCCACCTGCCCCAGGCACGGTGCAAATTTCACCTGCACCCCAGAAAGGAAACCAGCAATCTCAGGACAAATCAGTGGGCCTGGGCCATCTGTGAACTCTAGTACTGCACTAATGCCTAGTGCTGTCCTAGCACTTGAAACAGGCAAATGTGACGAGTGCAAATCAACCCCTGGATGAATGTATACTTCCATGGGCTAGTGCAGTCCTGACTCGGCCGTGGTGGGGGACAGGGGCCTGGTCCCCTGATAGGGCTCACGACACTCTACTCTGCTGTGCTGTCCTGGGGTTATTTACTTAGCAAGTGGTTACGGAGAGTCCCAGGGGTGCCATGGTCCAGGCCTGAGGGCACCAATGGGAAAATAAACAGGAGGAGTGACAATGGGAGATACCAAGTGCCCCGAGAGAGCTAAGGATGTGCGCAACCCATCAGGGATGGGGTGGCCAGGCAGAGGGATAGCAGCATGAGGCATCTAGAGCAGGGAGACACAGAGGGACTGAAAGGGCTTGGCTTGGCTGAGTCTAAGAGCCACAGGCGGCAGAAGGGGCACGAGGCCAGCCAAGGCTGCCAGGCTGTGGGCAGGCTCGTGTTCTGCGGCATGGGAGACACGCTCAGTGGAGATCGGGCAGGCTGTGGGTGGAAGTGTCAGCCTGGCCTCAGGAAGCCTGCTCCTGGGGAAGGGGCTGTACTCTCTCTGTGGGACATGTCCTCACAGCGGAGGCCTTGGAGCAGTGACTCCAGCCCATGGGCCAGGTGAGCCCTTCCACACGGGGGCGGCCATGCCCAGCTGCTTCTCACCTAGGATGCAGCTGAACTGGGGGCAGAACGATTCTGGGTGCCCGTCTGGTATCTTCCAGGGCTACCAGGTGTGACTCCCCTGTGTGGTGCTGCTCAGAAATCTGCGCCCAAGGCCCCTGTCCTGGCTGGCTGCAGCCACCACAGGAGCCCATCTCAGACCGTCGCTGCGGCCAGGGTTGATGGGGCCATGATGGAGGGTGGGAATAGAACTGTCGGTACCCATTCCTGTGCGGCCTTGTTGATGAGGGCAGGTTTGTTCTTTGAGTGTGCCAATGCTTGGTGATAGTTGCTGTCCTATGAGTGCACTTCAGTCCTTTCCAGAAGGTTCAAGGTCGGCTCTGAAGTTCTCAAAGCTCACAAGTCTTCAGAGAAAATATCTCGCAAGCTGTTCACTCCAGACCCCCTCTTTTTACATCAGGGATGCCCGTCTGTCCCCCAAGTCTGACCAGGGAGCCGTGTGGGAGCTGACCCTGCTGGGTGCTTCACCCCCAGTCTAGACAGAGATTCCATGTGCCATTCTGGTGGAGGATGTTGTGGAATTGGAGCTGAGGGCATATAACATTCTAAAAGTGAGCTGAGCGCGCGTGGCTCACGCTGTCCTTCTAGCTACGCTCAGAGTTGAGGATCTCACTTCAAGGTAGGCAAATCTGAGAGACTCTCATCTCCATTAACCAGCAAAAAAGCCAGAACTGGGGGGCAGGGCTCTGGTAAAGACCACCAGCCTTGAGCAGGGGTGCGAAACACCTTGTACCAAGCCCCAGTACACACACACACAGACACACACACAGACACACACACAGACACACACACAGACACACACACACACACAGACACACACACACAGACACACAGACACACACACACACACAGTCTATAACATGTACAGACTGAAGGGGAGCTGGAAAAAAAGGTGAGTGGGTCGTGCCCTGGCAAGGGAGATGGATGTCTGGCAGCTCCCGCTACTTCTTGCCTGTCCGTACTTTTGGCCTATCTCTGCAGCCTTGGCTTCTTGCGGCACTCGGTTTCCTCACACCCTGCCTTACTTACCGCCTCTTGTCTTTGAAGACATAAGTGGGCATCCTGAGCCTAGCCTGCCTCAATTCCACTTCTTCTGGGTGTTGAACAAGCTTAAGGCCCTGCACTAGCTGGCATCATCCACCCTAACATAAGTAAAAAGCAGGGAAGCATACTGAGCGCATCTTCATTCTCAGTGCAGTTCTGTGACCCACAGACTGCAGGCACAGTGCTTGAGCTTCATGGCACAGGGTGGGAGGTTTCCCTCTCCCAGTGGGCATCACCGCAGAGCACTAGCTTTAGTAGGAAGGAAGCAGCCAGGAGCTCTCCAACACACGAAAGCTCCCAGTACTGCAGAGCACTGCCTTCATTTAGAACAATGCGACGCAGGCAAGTGTTCAACTCGCATTTCCTATGAGGACAGTGATAATGAAGCAATCATGTTCACATCTTAGCAAAGCCAAGTCGGCAATCCTCCCCTCTCCCCTCCCACCCTTGGCTCTGTGTGTCTGTCTGTCTCTGTCTCTCTTCCCACATTGCTCTCTGCTCTGGGACCACAGAGCATGCCCATCTGGAACATTCTTCACCAGAGCAAGGACTGCACAGAGCCCTGAGTAACCGACGTCAGGGCTCTCTGACTTGGCGGCTCTGCCGTGGGCTGGTCAAGGCCCACAAGGGGTCTCTGTGCTGAAAACGCCCTTCTCGGGACTTCAACTATGAGTAGCCTCTGAAATAGAACAGTCTAGAAGCTGAGGAACCCTTCCAGGCCAACACATGGGATAAGTCTTCTCTACCAGACATCAGGACCATGAATGACTTGACTTTCTGAGGAGAGCAGAGACATATTGGGAGGAGCGACGCTGGACAGACACACAGGTGTTCAGGAGCCAGCTGGTGGGGTCCAGCAGGGGAGTCCAGCCAGGGAAGGCCTCAGCTTTTTCTCTGCCTTCTTCCTCTTGTGGTCACGGCTCCAGTTAGGCACCTGGCATCCTGCGCAAACCCCCTGATGTTCATATTAGAAAAACAAAATGAAATCACTTGCCTCCCTTAAGACGGCCATGAAGGTGAAACCCTGGCAGGAACTCCTGACTGAACAGCACCCACCCACCCCATAGTGCCCTGCCGGGTGGGCAGGTGGGGGCGGCGGCAGCAGGGAAGGAGGTCTGGGCAGAGAGACAAGGGGCAGATTCCGGAACTACACACTTCTCTTCAGAAGCTAGTGGGGAAGCCAGACACACAAGGAAAGCCGGACCGCGCCGATCCCCCTGGAGGGAGGAGCCACGCTGACCTGAGAGGAAATCTCCACTTCCTCTGAGCGCACGGTCACGGCGAGAACACGCACAAACAGGAATCTGGACTAAGTGCGATGCCAGTCTGCTTCTAGATAAGACTTAGAAAATATCCATGCTGGCTTTGGCTTTGAACCCGTGAAGCATTTATAAAAGTCAGACTTAACAGTTACCAGTGCTTGGGGTGGGCCAGGCTACGAGGTGCTGTGCTGTGAGGGGCGGTGCTGAGACCCCCAAGTCCAGAGACAGCATTCCCATATCCACCCCCTGCCCTCCGGCCCCAGGAGCCCCTCGAAGGCGGAGACAAAGTGGCTCAGTTCCCACCCAAGGATAGGGCTGGGCAGAGGTGGAGCCTGCCTTCCAGGGGGCCTGGCCAGAGCTCCCCCTTAGAGTCAACCTTCTAGAACATTTCTTTTCCCTCTGCAGGTTTTGTGTTAGTCATCGGACTGGTGACCTTCTACAGAATCGGCCCCTACACCAACCTATCATGGTCTTGCTATCTGAACATTGGTGCCTGTCTGCTGGCCACCCTGGCAGCTGCCATGCTCATCTGGAACATTCTGCACCGCAGGGAGGACTGCATGGCCCCCCGGGTAATTGTCATCAGCCGCTCACTGACAGCACGGTTCCGCAGGGGGCTGGACAATGATTATGTAGAGTCTCCGTGCTGAAAGCACCCTCCTCAGGACTTCATCTTTATAGCCACTATAATGGATTAGTCTAGAAACTGAAGGACTCACCCTGACTCTGCTTGTACCCAGGCACGGGGTGAGTCTTGGTCATATATACATATGTATATATACGTGTATATATACGTATGTATGTGTGTGCAATGCTCGTGCACACTTACTATGTTATACATGAATATGTCAAGTGCCACCGTTTCTGCCACCATCTTCCCCAGCCAGTCCACTGCAGCTTCACATCGCGCTCGGCTGAAGGGTGGGGACAGGAAGCTGGGCAGGGGAGGCAGTGGTGTGGGCGCCCCGCTCTCTGCCTTCACTTGGGATTAATTTATTCTGGATCTGTTTAGGAGGACACCCAGTTATATTTTTCTTTCATAGAGCAGAATACCCAGGAAGCTTTCCATGAGGTCTCTACGGTATTTCTTTATTAAGTTAGAATTTATAACCAGATGGTAATGGCTTTATGCCAGAATCAAATTAATAGTGTACGTTCTGTTCCTGGTTATTTTTCTAAGTTAAAATAAACTCAAACCTCTTATCTCTACCTAAAACTTGTATTTTATCCATCCATCCCACTATGTGGGGGAAGAGAATCTGATCAGTTTTTCTGTGTTTTTCGCAAGATGATACTAAGAAAGAGTTAAAAGGTCTTCACTGAAGAGCATATACCCTATTCCATGGCTCTGGGCAACCAAATCTCAAAAAACCCACATTTCTGGCTGGGTGAGATGGTGCATGTCTGTAACCCAGCTACTCAGGAGGCAAAGTCTGGGAAGAATGAGGTTTGACGTAGAACATCAGTGAGACTCCATCTACCAATAAGCTGGGGACATGTTTGTCATCCAGTTATGTGGGAAGCATGAAAAAGAGGATCAAAGTCCAGGTCAGTCTGAGGAAAAACTTAAGGTCTTATTCAAAAAATAGCTAAAGCAAAAGGACGCAGGGCACTCAGGTGATAAAGTACCTGCCTAGCAAGTGCAGGGCCTGGAATTTAAACCCAAGTACAGGTAACAAAAAGAAAAATTTAGGCTGGGCATCACTGGCTCTTGCCTGTAATCCGAGATACTAAGGAGGCTAAGATCTGAGGATCACTGTTCAAAGCCAGCTCAGGCAACAAAGTCCATGAGACTCCTAGCTCCAATTAACCACCAGAAAACTGGAAGTGGCACTGAGACTCAAAGTGGAAGAGTGCGAACCTTGAGCCAAGAGTTTAAGGACAGCACCCAGGCCCTATATTCAAGCCCCACAAATAACAACAACAACAAAAAATTAGTTATAGAGAAAAAGTTTACATTCCTAGAGTCTCTGAACACCATGGTGTGGGATGAAAATCAACATGAGCAGAGTAGTAGGGAACAAGTAAGTGTGTTGCTTTTGAGTGTCCCTTTAGTTAAATGCTGATTGGTTCTGATACACCTCAGTCCAAAATGCCTCAGGAAGGCACAAAACCTGAGAGCTAACCTGGGGAAGGGGAGGTAGGGTGGTTAACCTGCCCAACTGAACGCAAGGCTGTAACAAGTCTGGTAAACTCCTTCTCTGGCCAGTGCTGTACTGTGTGATCATGGCCACCAGGGGGCAGTGTGGGAGGAGAAGCTGATACTGGTGGAGAAAGCTCAAAGCCAGATGTGGATCATCTATCTGGTTGCTTCTCCTCTGCAAATGTCTAGCTCTGTCACTTACAAGCCTCTGTGGAATCGAAAGCGATCCCTTTAGATTCTCTTTTTTTTTTTTTTGCTGGCACTGGGGCTTGAACTCAGGGCCTGGGTGCTGTCCCTGAGCTTGTGTCAAGGCTTGTGCTCTACCACTTGAGCCACAGCACCATCTCTGGCTTTTTCTGAATAGTTTATTGGAAAGATAAGAGTCTCACAGACTTTCCTTCGTGGGCTGGCTTTGCACCACGATCCTCAGATCTCATCCTCCTGAGTAGCTAGGATTACAGGTGTGAGTCACCGGCAACTGGATTCCCTTTAGATTATGAAGTTCATACTATGCCAAGGATTTGTCTTTAGTCATAACAAATGGTGAAACTGGTGGTGCTTTCAACGCATCAGGTAACTGGTAATGCCCAACAGGCACTCATGCCATCTATGACCCACGCACTGCCCATGGTACAGCACCCTGAAAGACACACAGAACGGGCCTTCCTTCTGCCCTTCCACCCGCAGGAGGCTCTGGCCTCACTGGCTTAGGTGGATAGTGGCCCAGGGGTTTCACGCTATCCTGAGTATTCTGAAAGACACCTTCCCTACTACAAAATCATCATTGCAAATGGAGTTCCCTCTGAGCAACTTAATCTTACAACATTTTCCCTCCACAGTATCAATCTTCTCTAGTTTTTCTTTTCTTTTGGTCATGGGGCCTGAACTCTGGCCTGGGCGCTGTCCCTCAGCTCTTCAGCTCAAGGCTAGCACTCTACCATTTGAGCCACAGCAGCACTTCACCACTTCTGGTTTTTTACTGGTTTATTGAAGATTATAGAGTCTCAGGGATTTTCCTGCCTGGGCTGGTTTTGAACTGTGATTCTCAGATCTGTCTCCTGAGTAGCTAGGATTACAGGCGTGAGCCACCAGCACCTGGCCTTCTCTAGTTTTTCTACCCTTTTGAGATTAAAATTTGATAAATACTCTCGCCCAGAGTTACTGAATTACCTCTGCAATGGAAAGAAAGGTACTTGCTGGACAGCTCCTAAATGATGCCATCTTTTGTAATTTTAATTGCATTTCACCTCCATTTTAGTGTTTATGTACTGACACTTTTTAGCAGAATTTAACACTTGCAGAACTTCCAACTAGGAAGTACCCTGAACACTTTCCAATGAACAAAACAGTTAAGATAATAGACTAAGAACTTCTGGTACCACAGCACAAAAGTATCAGGCTCACCTTCTCCACCAAATGCACCTGCTCTGGGTATGGTGTACGCATGCCCTGCTCTCTGAGCTCCACAGCTTTTCACTGAGTGAAAAGACCACTAAATGCACCATGACACAGTCACTAAAGGGTTAATGACATAAACTCGAATTGAGTAGGCCTAAGAAAAATAAAGCCTGTGGGACGTGTGCCTCCAGGAATGGAATCCTTACCTTTTGATGAGTTTGATAGATTTGAAAGCTTCATCCATGTCTCCAATGGTGGCGAAGAAGCTGAAATTGAGCATGGCATCTCGAGTGGGCTTGTCGCAGTCTTCCAGCCCCACAAAGTCTCGCAGAGGTTTCTTGGCCACCATCTGAGGTATCTGGTGGTGATCAGAATCCACCTTGTCTTCAGTTCCTGCCTCTCCAGGCTGGTGGAGAAAAACCCAATTTGCTTGTCAGTCATGTGCAAAGGTACGTCTAACTCTTGGTCGTTTCTACATTTATGTCATCCTGGGAAAATCCACCTGCAGGCAGGCCCAGGCTAAATGGTCCTCTCAAGGTGTTAGAAAACCTTTAGAGTCACTGGAAATGATTCGAACTCCAGTCTCTAGTCTCAAATAACAAGTAAACAAAGGTTGTTGAGATGAACTCTTTATTGAGCCTCTAATTCACTAACAGCAGAGTCTCAGCAATTAAAAATGGCTTTTGCTAGCCAAGTATGGTAGCTCAGACCTATAATCCTAGCTACTAGGGATTAGAGACTAGGAGGATCATGTTTTAAGGCCAGGATCTCATCTCAACCAATGTGTGTGGTGCTATGCACCTGTGGTTCAGCTATGCAAGAACATAAATAGGAGCATCTTGATGCAGACTAGTCTAGGTGTAAATGCAAGACCTTATTCCCACAATAACTAAAGCACAAGAGGCTGGGAGCATGGCTCAAGTGGTCGAGTACCTGCCTAGCAAGCATGACACCTTGATTTGAACCCCTCCCCCCCAACCTGGGTTCTCTCCCTCCCTACTTCCTTTTAAAGGCTTTTTTGCTCAAGGCTGGCACTCCAAATTTGAGCCACATTTCTACTAGGTTTGGCTGGCCTAAGAGGTAGGAGTATCTGAGATAGTCCACTGGGCTGGCTTCAAACTGTGATGCTCAGATCTCTGCCTCCTGAGTAGCTAGGGTTACTGGTTGGGCCACCAACTCCTAGAAGCCTATGTCTCTAGCTTTCTACATCCAACACTTCCTACAGGAGCTACTGGGCCCCGCTGCTCTCCCACCATCTTTCTCCTGCTCCCACCTCTTTGTGTGCTGTTCTACATGGCACTGCCCAGTGCACTTTGCCCAGGCTGGAGCCCCAGCTCTGCAGGCTGTCTCTCAAGTGGAGGTGATTAATTATGATACACCCTTCCTAGACCATGTCCCTCAACAGTCTGTACCTCTCACTTCTGATTTCTGTGTGTGTTGTCAGTCATGGGGCTTGAACTCTGGGCCTGGGTGTTGTCCCTGAGCTCTTCAGCTCAAGACAAGGACTCTACTCTACCATTTGACCACAGCACCACTTGCAGGTTTCTGGTGGCCAATTGGAGATAAGAGTCTCACAGCCTTTCTTGCCCAAGCTGGCTTTGAACCATGATCCTCAGATCTCAGTCTCCTGAGTAGCTAGGATTACGGGCGTGAGCCACTGGCACCCGGTTTCTCTGTGTGCTTCTGAAGACTAGCCCATGCTAGTGTGCAGTCCTCGGGTCTCACTTTCCCAAGGCTGGGACTATGGGTGTGCACTATTGGTGACTTCCTCTGGCTCAGTCCTGAATAACTCAGCTTCACTTCTCTTTTGAAGCTGACCTGCAGCTCCAGTGCCCAGGCCCGGGGAAGGGTGGTGGGGCTCGTCAGGCCTGGCTGTGCCTTCCCAGGCACAGAACAGAACAGGACATAAATAAAAGCCCTGAGGCAGCTCAGTTTAGGGAGGCTGAGTTTTGGGCCCACAGACTTTAAACTCTCAAATGGGAAGCTAAAGCGTTTGATCTAAATGAGTGGGAAACTGTCAGGAAACGTACAGAGAAACCAGTGAGACCTTATCCGCTGTAATGCACGGCAGCCAGACTTCCCACCATGAGACCCGTCAGCCCTGTTAGGGTCTCACCAGAAGCCACTTCACTGAGAGCGCCTTGCGGAGGCCCACAGCCGTGAGAGGCGGGGCGAGTTATGCCAAGCCGTGACTGTGTGACTGCTGCTGGACGGTCGCCCAGACCACCCCAACGAGCGCGCGCCGCACACCTGGGTGCAACGCAACAGGAACTCCTGTATATATGCATGCACGTACGTGTAAACGTGTATGTTTGTTGTTCATTCAAACTTCAGAACCTCCTGCTTCCAGCTCCAGGGTGATGAGATTACAGGTGTGTTCCACTATGCCTGACCATAAAGTAGGTAGCCTTTAGAAGAACCAAATGCCTCATGGCTATTCTTCAGCATTGCTTTTACAGCTAAACAAACAATCCTCCCCACACTGCAAACATAGGTAATTAAGCACACTGTCCACAGACATCAGGGACAGGGCTGGGCAGGCCACAGGTCCACCCAGGCTGCAGGTGCACTCAGGACCTGGAGTTGGCAGACTCCTGGCAAGCTTTGCTAGGTGATGGGGGGCCCTGCTCAAACAAAACAGCCCCAGGGGCTCAGCAAAGCTCTCTACTGGGTGGGCAGTGCACATACAACACAGTGGAACACGCAGGACAAGTCTGCAGGAAAGGACAAAGTCAAGGGAACACACTGTAACCCGGCTCTGTACTTACGACTGTGCTGTACAGGCCTCCTCTCTGGAACAACAACTGTGAGTGCGGGTACAGATGCGAGGTGAGAATGAGAGAGGAGAGATGTATGAATGTGGGAAGAAACGAAAACCACAACGTGGCACTAATGTGAAGAACTTAACAGAAAGAATGATAATTTTTATTTTTTGTCAGTTGTGAGGCATGAACTTAGGGGCTGGTTGCTGTCTCTGAGCTCTTTTGCTCAAGGTTAGTGCTCTATCACTTTGAGCCATAGCACCATTTCCAGTTTTCTGGTGATTAACTGGAGATTAGAGTCTCATGGACTTTCCTGGTTCCAAACCTCAATCCTAAGCTCTCAGCCTCCTGAGTAGCTACGGTAATAGGTGTGAGCCACCAGCACCCAGCTGATAGAAAGAATTTTTTTTTTTTGGGTCCAGTCGTGGGGCCTGAACTCTGGGCCTGGGCGCTGTCCCTCAGCTCTTCAGCTCAAGGCTAGCGCTCTACCACTTGAGACACAGCGCCACTTCCGGCTTTTTTTTTTTTTTTTGCTTATGTGGTGCTGAGGAATCGAACCCAGGGCCTCATGCATGCAAGGCAAGCGCTCTACCACTGAGCCACCTTCCCAGCCCTGATAGAAAGAATTTTAAAGAACTTTACTATTTGATTTCTCAAATCAAAGAGACATTAAAGCACATAAAAAATACAAAGTAGCTGGGAGCCAGTGGCTCATACCTGTAATCTTACCCACTCAGGAAGCTGAGAGCTGAGGATCATAGTTCAAAGCCAGCCCGGGCAGGAAAGTCTATAAGACTCTTATCTCCAATAAAGCACCAGAAAACTGGAAGTGGAAGTGGTGCTGTGGCTCAAGCAGTAGAACACTAGCCTTGAGCTGAAGGGCTGAGGGACAGCAGCCAGGCCCAGGGTTCAAGCCATACAACCACAACCAACCAACCAAAAAAAAAAAGCAAAGTAAGAATGAAATTTAGAAAACTATCAGCCCAGTGGTTGGAAAATCTGTTTAAAATGAGGCCGTCAAGGAAGGTTGCACAGACAGAGCAGTGAGTCCTTGAGCTTGCTAAGTCACAAGAACTCTTCCTTCTTCATCTTCATGAAGATCAACTCCATTTCAATGTACATACAAATATAATACATAAGATGTTCATATGCCACCCTCTAGTGACTGTGCAATGCCATACGTATGGCATTACGAAATGACTTGGAAAATGCCTCAGGGACACATACCTTTTTTGTGAAGTAATAGTGGGGTACTTCCACCCCCAAGAGGGTCTGGTAGGCAGAGGGAAGGGGGAAGCTGTCATGGAGCAGGAAGCCATGCTCTTCAGAAGCGAAGAATGACAAAATCAAAACACCTTCCTGAGAGAAAGGACACTAATTATTCCAGTTTTCATATTCTTCTTGGTTTTTATTTTCATTGCCAGGTTGTTTTATGAAACCCAGAAAACACAGGAAGGAGTGCGCAGACACAGCCAGGCTCCCCTTCGGGGCCTGACCTCTACACCTCCCTGCCAGGGCTTCTCAGCCCTCATAAGCCCGTGCTGAAGAACCAAGATGCTTCCCAGAGAGATGCACCTTGTAAGTCTGTGACAAGCAGACCCTGGGGATCCGCTCTAGCTGAACTGGTAGAGGAAGCTAAGATCTGGTTCAAAGCCAGCCTGGGCAGGAAAGTCTGTAAGACTCTTATCTCCAATTAACTGCCAGACAACCAGAAGTGGCGCTGTGGCTCAAGTGGTAGAGCGCTTGCCTTGAGCTGAAGAGCTGAGGGACAGCGCCCAGGCCCAGAGTTCAAGCCCCACAACCAACAACAACAAAAAGCCAAGGGCAACACAGGCTTTCTGCTTTGCTTTGGAGGACTAGTGACAGTTGGGCCTTATGGTGTGCAGGAATTTCTGAATCGGAACTAGTAAGGGGTGAGAAGGCGGACCTTTCCACATGGCAGTGTGAATGCTTACAACTGCACGTTACCCTCACAGAAGATGAAAGGAACTCAATCAAATGGCCAGGAAATAACCTTCCCACTAACATGCCGTCTCCTTTCACTCTGCTAGGTAGTTTTCATTGCTCCCTGGCCCTAACAGCATAATTCCTCTGCCAATTTTCTTTGTTTTCCTCATTCAATGACAGAGAGGATATCTCAACATTTTCCCACCTCGCACTTAGGATCCAGGCCCGAGTTTGCTCTTGAGAACCTCAAGGCACTGACACCAGCTGCTGATCTTACAGCAGACTGTGACCATAAACATGAGTGGAGTAATCTGGCTGGAGCCCAGTCCTGTGGGCTGAGGGTGGGCTGACCTGCGCCAGCTGGCTGGCGTGGGAATGTGGGGCCTGACGCTCCAGTGTCACTTCATTCAATGGGAAGCAGGAAGCAGATAGGCTTCTCCACATGAAAGAGTTTTCCTACTCACTGTCCCATGAGCCCTGTCATGAAGATGTGATGCAGTAAAGCAGGAGGTACCGAGTGTCTGCTGCTGTCCTCCAGGGGGGGCTGCCGCTCTGCAGCAGGCGGCGATGCTCCGTGCGCCTCCTGCACAGCCTCACACACAAAAAGCCGCGGCTCGCTCTGATCCCAGAAATGGCTTACAGGAATGTAATTTGTCAGACTCTCATCCGCAAAGACACGGTTCCTAAAACAGAAGAGAAGATCCACCTTGAACTCTGAGAAGAGCATTTTTGTTAACACTACCCATAGCCATGGAGGAGGGCCTCAGCCAGCCACCGTGATGGTGGCCCTTTGCACCCAACACGAGCTTGTGTCCTGTAGGAACACTCATTCAGACTTTCAGGCATCAGATGAGTCTTCAAGTTCAGTGAGGTCCAGTTTGATGACGTGTAGGTCTGGAGATCTTCTAGAGTCTAGAACTCAGGCCTCACGCTTGCTAGACAAGTATTCTACCTTTGAGCATCCCCTATACTCACCCTCCCTTTTTTGTTAGCTAGTTTTGGGCCTTGAACTCTGAACCAAAGCACTGTTCCTAAGCTTTTTTTTTTTTTGGGTCTGGTCGTGGGGCCTGAACTCTGGGCCTGGGCGCTGTCCCTCAGCTCTTCAACTCAAGGCTAGCGCTCTACCACTTGAGCCACAACGCCACTTCCGGCTTTTTTCTTTTTGCTTATGTGGTGCTGAGGAATTGAACTGAGGGCCTCAGGCATGCAAGGCAAACACTCTACCCACTGAGTCACCTTCCCAGCCCCTCCTGAGCTTCTTTCACTCAAGTTTAGTGCTCTACCACTTGAGCCAAAGCACTACTTCCAGCTTTTTCAGTAATTTATTGGAGATAAGAGGCTCACAGACTTTCCTGCCTGGACTGGCTTCAAACCATGACCCTCAGACCTCAGCCTCCTGAGTATCAGCTAGGATTACAGGTTTGAGTCACCAGCTCCTGGCTTTTGCTTTTTGTCTGTATTACTAGTAACTGTTGTAAGGTCCTCTGAAGTTTGGAAAATAACTTAGCAAACAACCTGCCTGGAAGTTGAGAAGCAAAAACCGTTCTCAACAAAATCCTCCCGCCACATTTACTTGTTAGTCTCGTGCCCGTTAAAGGAGAGTGTCTCTCGCTGGTCAATCTGCCCAGTCTTAAAGTCGAAGACAGTCACCATGTCCATCTCAACGTCATAGAAGCAGAGTTTGGAATCAGGGCTGTTGTCAGTCTAGAAAAGAGAAGACAGGACAGCGCTGTCGGGCCTGTGGCTCTGGCTCTATATAATGCACGAGAGAAACACCCTGCAGTTAGCCACGCTGCCTTCCAAGGTAGAACACTCTCAAGATTCAAAATTTGAAGAGAAACTTTCCTTTATCCTCAACAGTTTTGAGATACTACTTTGTTATTTCATGCATATTATATAACTAGAAATTATAAATACACTTTGCATTTGAGCCACACCTCCAGTTTTGGCGTTTTGCTGGTTGACTGGAGATAAAAGTCTTACAGATTTGTTTGCCTGGGCTGGCTTCAAATAATGTGGAAGGTAGGGAGAAGAGATGAAGGAAGGGTTGGCCGTGAACTCAAAGAATTACCCAGAAGAGGACACAGCCAGTGCAAGTGGAAGTGAGTAAGATGGGGTCCAGAGCCCCCCACCCACCCAGACCACAGCAGCAAGGACACATGCAAGCTACCTTACTGAGCAGGATGCTGATCTTGCTTCCACTGGCATTGCACCGGAGGGAAGAGATGGCCCCCACTCCAGGGAGCAGCTCAGCCAGGTTCTTACAGTTGCAGTGCACCTTGGCCTCCCTGTGGGAGCAGAGGGAGAAGGCATCAATGCCAGGTGCTTTTCACACCTGCTAGCCTTCTCCCTCCTTGCGCAAGTCGCTGACAGGGTCCTTCCTCTCTGACTGCAGGACGGTGGCTTAGGGTGAGTTCTGCCCAGCAGCTTGCTGCTTCTCATTCTGGCAGCACAGATGCCCAGGAGCCAGGCCAGGCCTGGAATACAGTGTGGGGAGGGGCGCGCTGGGCAGACCTGGGACACAGCGGTTCTGTGAGGGCCATGCTGTTGTTTTCAGCAAATGCTCTCCTCTTGTCAGACAATGCTGCTCCCCACCTTGTGCCTCCCTTTCTACCATGCTGTGGGCCTCCACTGCAGGACAGGGAAAATCCCTCATCCTTCCTCTGCTAGCAACCTCCAGCAGGTCCTGGCTTACTGCCAGAAATGATCCTCAGAATGTAGTGCGGCTCTGTTATATACCTTGTTCCCAAGAGCCCATGTGATGTTTACTCTTCATGCTTCGTTTTTTGTTGTTGTTGTTGGTTGTGGGGCTTGAACTCTGGGCCTGGGCGCTGTCCCTCAGCTCTTCAGCTCAAAGCTAGAGTTCTACCACTTGAGCTACAGCCCTACTTCCAGTTTTCTGGTGGTTTATTGGAGATAGGAGTCTCACGGTCTCTCCTGCCCGGGCTGGCTTTGAACCGCGATCCTCAGATCTCAGCCTCCTGAGTAGCTAGGATTACAGGCGTGAGCCACCAGCGCCCGGCTTACTCTTCATGTTTCTTTTCTTTCTTTTTTTTTTTTTTTTTGGGGTCCGGTCGTGGGGCCTGAACTCTGGGCCTGGGCGCTGTCCCTCAGCTCTTCAGCTCAAGGCTAGCGCTCTACCACTTGAGCCACAGCGCCACTTCCGGCTTTTTTCTTTTTGCTTATGTGGTGCTGAGGAATGGAACCCAGGGCCTCAGGCATGCAAGGCACGCGCTCTGCCACTGAGCCACCTTCCCAGCCCCCTTTCATGTTTCTTTAGACTCCTCTAGCTAGGTTCTCAGACTTGCCTAGTTTTTGAAGACCGTGGTAGGTTAGAGGGGCTCTGTTGAGGAATGGGGTAGGACATCCCTCTACTGGGATCTGTTCTAAGTGATGTTCATTTTTTTCTTAACGTCTTAGGGTTCATACTTGGTGCAGAGAGCCAGCCTGGCTTTGACGAATACATCAAACAGAAATACCCTGCCCACAAACACCTCCATTCTCTGCCTCCTCCTGCAGTATAGCCCCTCACACCAAGGCCAAGACCTGAGGCATATTAAAAATGAGGTGGCACAGGAATGTTCAAATCTAAGGAGACTTCTGGCATATTTTCTACCAACACACAGTTAATACTTCAATTTGGACAAAAGTTGTACCTTCGGGAAAGATCAAAGCTTTTGAAGTGAGCTAAGTCTGTCCCCACAACCAGGAAAGTCCCACAGATGTCCAGGATGCAGGGGTTCCCTTCAGTCTCAGAAAACAGCAGCAGTTGCTTTACTGTCCCCTGAGGAAAGAGGAAACCAGAATTCAGGACTGCAGCTCCCATGGCTCTCCATTTTTTGTTACTCAGCATTCTCGGGTCAGCTGGTGCAGCCCACTGGGCAGAGCACGCGGCATTACTATGGGTAAGGCAGGGACGGGCACAGCACCCAGGAACCTAAAGATGCAAACTGGCAGGGAAAGATAGGACTCGAAGCTGTTCTTTCTGTGCCCTCCCTTTCGTCTTCTCTTATCACTGTACTCTTTACTGTCTGGCTACTCACTAGATGCCAATGCCATGAAAGGGGCCCGTCGGACAGTCACAGGGAACCACATGGATTCCAGCGATAAAAATCACAACCTAGCTAAAACTAGCTGTGATCTTGTCACAGAATGCTGCTGCATGTAGTGGCCTGGCGGTGGCCGTGGCTTCCCAAAAGGTATCTCTACTTGAAACCTGTGGATCAGACCGCATTTGGTATTTGGAGACGTGATTAAGGATTTTGGAAAATCATTCTGATTTAGCATGGGCCTTATACCCAATGAGGAGTGTTTATTTTTCTTGCTGGAGATAGAACCCAGGACCTCATTCATGTTAAGCAGGCACTTATTGAGTCAAAGTATGATTAGACACAAGAAAGAAGACACGGAAAGACACCGTGTGTGAAGATAGGGCAGAGTGAGTGAGTGCTCTGTGAGCCAATGACACCAATAATCGCCAGCGTTTCTGGCTCCCAGAAGCCAAGAGAGGCAGAAGAGGCCTATGAAGAGGCTCCCAAAGCAATGAGCCCTGAGAACATCCAGATTCAACAACAGCTTGTAGAACTGAGAGAGTAAATTTCTGTTCTCTGAAGCTATGTTGTTTGTGGTGATGTTACAGCAGCCACAGGAAGCTAATACCAAGTTATATTAGAGTCTGGCAATGTGGTGTGGGATGCAGACATGGGAACGGCTGTCTGACTCTACACTGCACCCCTCCCAGCTTCTCCCTCACACAAAGAACAGCCCATCTGGAGACACTCAGCCTTGAGGCTGAGCAAACATTTAGTCTCATTTCACAGCCCCGTGTATTCAAAGGCCAGCAAAGTGGTCCTTTTCACTGCCAAAGGCACTATCTAGCCCTGCTTCCCAGGTTCAGAGGTCTCAATAGCCATGGATGAAGTGGCTTCCTTAGAATCCACTTGGACGAATCACTTGGTGGGAAATCGGATAGAGGCAGACAAAGTCAACAAAGGCTTTGGCTCAATCTAGAGAAAGAATCTGGGACTGCTCTGGTTTTCATTATCACAATTCACGGCAGCCACTTACCTGCCAGGTCCGAACTTGAACTCGGTTTGGCTCCACCGTATAAACACTTTCCTCATACATCGCTAACACAGGGGACTCACACAGGAAGGAACCTAGAATGAAAGATAAGCACTGACCCAGCAGCAGCTGGTAATTCCAGAACATCCAGGAATCAGGGAGCCCAGGCAGGTTGGCGAGCTGCGGGTCTTTTGGTTTTCAATGATGTTGACTGAAATCAATAGGCTGTGGTGTAGGAGGCCCTGGCAGCATAGACCAGAGCCCCAGTGTGGGCAAGGAAACTGATGTGAGGGTCACCCCATGTGCCAACACCCTGCGGGTGTGAGGAAACTCCCACCTGCATTCCGTAAGGTGGTTCCAGAAGGCTCAAAGATCGCTATCTGTTTTCCATTCCACACAGCCACAGCATCCTAAGACAAACATGTCCAAAAGTAAAGGTCAGGAAGAGTGGATGCAGACTACAGACACCACACTCTGCCAAAGCCTGCCCCCCTCTCCCCCGTGCAGGGTCCGCACCTCAGCCCAGCATTGGGCCACTGTATCTCCCACAGACAAAATGCCCCTGAGTTTTGATGATTACTTCCTTTATAAATATGACACACATGGAGACTCAGAAAGGCAATCCAGGATGGAACTGGATGTGGAGGCTCCTTGCTATCCTGAATCCCCCCAACCAATGAGTGGGCGGTGTTGAAGCTCCGTGTGTGACCCCACCAGCTGCCCCGGGAGTTACCTTGGTGACAAACACTCCGCTGATATGCATGTCTGTGCGCAGGCTGTGCGAGCTCCCCGTGGACAGGAAGCACACGTTGAGTAAACTGGGAGAGATCTGCACGGCAGCCACTTGCTGGTTGAAGTGTGAGGACATGGCCTGCTCACTGAGGATGGACACGGAGCTGATGGTGCTCACCGCCAGAAGATTCTTTCTGGAGCCCCACTGCAGTCCCGTGTGCAAAGAAAAAGAATAAGACATGTGAAAAGCTCACCTAACAAGAGGTTCAAAGTAGCTGCTACAGATACTCTCATTACAATGAGCCATGCTTGATCACATGAGGGAAGGTGTATAGCCATACATGTTGTTGGAGACAGCACATCAATAAAGGGAAATAAATTATATATAAAAAAATCAAAAGCCCAAGAAAAATACAGCGTATGTTCATACAGAAAGTCATGTAACAAACGTCACAGCAGCATCATTCGGATACTGTCCGAAATGTCTATGAGCCGATGAACAGATAAGCAGACTGTACTCCAGTTATGCGATGATATATAACTCAAGCATAAATACCGAACCCTGACAAGTGACACGGCATGGAGGAAGTAGAAAAATTAATCATGGAGGTATCTGAAGAATTTTTTTTTTTTTGGTCCAGTCATGGGGTCTGAACTCTGGGCCTGAGCGCTGTCCCTCAGCTCTTCAGCTCAAGGCTAGCACTCTACCACTTGAGCCACAGCGCCACTTCCGGCTTTTTTCTTTTTTGCTTATGTGGTGCTGAGGAATCGAACCCAGGGCCTCATGCATGCAAGGCAAGCGCTCCATGAAGAATTCTATGAAGATACTAAAAACCATTTGGCTAGGTGCCAGTGGCTCAGGCCTGCAATCTTAGCTACTCAGGAGGTTGAGATCTAAGAATTGCCGTTTGAAGCCAGCCTGGGCAGAAAAATCCCCATGAGACTCTTATCTCCAATAAACTACTCAATAACGGGAAATGGTGCTGTGGCTCAAATGGTAGAGCACTAGCCTTGAGTGCAGAGAGGCTCAGGGAGAGCACCCAGGCCCTGAGTTCAAGATCCAGGACTGGCAAAAACAAACAAAAACCATGCCTGGTGCTGGTGGCTCATGCCTATAATCCTAGCTTACTCAGGAGGCTGAGATCTGAGGATTGTGGTTTAAAGCCAGCCCAGGCAGGAAAGTAAGTGAGACTCTTATCTCCAATTAACCACCAAAAGTCAGAAGTGGCACTGTGGCTCAAATGGTAGAGTGCTAGCCTTGAGCTGAAGAGTACAGGGACAGCTCCCAAGCCCAGAGTTCAAGCCCTACAACTGACAAAAACAGGTGAATCATATCAGAGATAGAAAGATGGGTAACAGGGGCTGGGAAGGTGGCTCAGTAGTAGAGTGCTTGCCTCGAATGCATGAGGCCCTGGGTTCAATTCCTCAGCACCACATAAGCAAAAAGAAAAAAGCCAGAAGTGGTGTTGTGACTCAAGTGGTAGAGCGCTAGCCTTGAGCTGAAGAGCGGAGGGACAGCGCCCAGGCCCAGAGTTCAGGCCCCACAACCCCCCCCCCCAAAAAAAAAAGAAAGAGAAAGAAAGAAAGAAAGAAAGGAAGAAAAAGAGAAAGAAAGAAAGAAAGAACGATGGATAACGTGGACAGAAACGTATTTACACAGGCTTCTAGTCCCTCATCTGAAATTCTGAAACCCAGAAGACGTCTCTCTCTCTCTCTCTCTTTGCTATGAAGTCTAGGCTGGTCTTCAGCTCGTTTCACACCCTGGCCTCCAGAGTGTGGGGACTTAAGGCATCACAACTCACGCCTGGCTGCCGTGCTCCGCCTTAAGCTTTGTTACTGTTAGTTTTTTTTTTAATATGCTCTAACATAACATTATTGGCTATATAGCCTTAAATCATTGGTAGAAATAGGTCCAAAGCCAATTCCTTCCTCCATTTTGTGCAGCAGAAAAAGGGCATATTAAGCACTCTGCAGAGCTATACCTTTATTTGTGTGATGTTTCCTTCAAGCTCAGTGGGCGTCCGGAGGGCCCATGCATCCTTTCCTTCTACCCCATGGCTGCCTGGAAGGCCGGGCACTTTTCTCCACATTGCTATTTGCCCTTTACTGGTACCAGCTGCCAGAAGACCTAGGGGTGAAAACAACGTGCATGGGAATTGAGTTGAAAAGTGGATTAAGTCAGGTGCTGGTGGCTCACACCTGTAATCCTAGCTACTTACAGGGGTTGAAATCTGAAAATCACAGTTCAAAGTCAGCTCAGGCAAGTAACTTCATGAGACTCTTATCTCTAATTAACCACAAAAAGCTGGAAGTAGAGTTGTGGCTCAAGTGTTGGTGCACTAGCCTGTTGAGGCTGAGTTCAAGACCCAGTACGTGTGCACATGAGCATGCATGCAAAGTATTGTTGTTGTTTTTTTGTTTGGTCATGGGGCTTGAACTTTGGGCCTGGGCGCTGTTCCTCAGCTCTTCAGCTCAAGGCTAGTGCTCTACCATGTGAGCCACAGCTCTACTTCGGGTTTTCTGGGTGGTTTATTGGAGATAAGAGTTTCATGGCTTTTCCTGCCCGGGCTGGCTTTGAACCGTGATGCTCAGATCTCAGCCTCCTGAGTAGCTAGGATTACAGGTGTGAGCAACCAGCACCTGGCTCCAGTCTGGCATCTTTGCTGGTAAATAGGAAATTTACCAGCTGACTTGAAATGTCAATGCCTATGCTGACTTGAAATGTCAATCTCCTGATCTCAGGCCTCCTAAGTAGCTAAGACTGTAAGTGAGAGCTACTGGTGCCGGCCAGGTTTTGTTTCTTTCATGAGAAGTCAAGTAATCTCACCTTTGGCTTTACAGTAACAAACACAGTTTATATTTTCTCCTTTTTCAAAGCCAAACTTCTCCTCTGGACTTAGTATATAATTTTCTCCTCGTTCCAAGTCCCAGAATCTGCAAGGGAAGAGGAAAGCACCGTCAAGGCTGTGTTAGAGACCTCCCACTGCTCAAGAGTTGAACCTGTACAGCAAACTTAAGACCGAGCAAAGGCTAGAGTGTCCAGATTCGTAGTATAAAAGAGAAGCCAGGTACTGGTGGCTTACGCCTGTAATCATAGCTGCTCAGGAGGCTGAGATCTGAGGATTGCGGTTTAAAGCCAGCCTGGGGGGCTGGGAAGGTGGCTCAGTGGTAGAACACTTGCCTTGCATGCATGAGGCCCTGGGTTCGATTCCTCAGCACCACATAAGCAAAAAGAAAAAAGCCAGAAGTGGTGCTGTGGCTCAAGTGGTACAGCACTAGCCTTGAGCTGAAGAGCTGAGGGACAGCGCACAGGCCGAGAGTTCAGGCCCCATGACTGGACCCTCCCTTCCCCCAAAAAAAAGTCAGCCCGGGGAGGAAAGTCCGTGAGCCTCTCATCTCCAATAAACCAGTAGAAAACCAGAAGTGGCGCTGTGGCTCAAGTGAGCACTTGCCTTCAGCTGAAGAGCACAGGACAGTGCAAAGACCTGAGTTCAAGCCCCACGACCGAACAACAACAAAAAAAAAGAGTGTTTATAACTACTTTATGATCTTTTTTGATAGTTAAAGAGCAGTTTCTTACAGGTGGTTCAAATATGACATTAGGTCATGCAGAGAAGACTCAAACCCTAATCACATTAAGCAACACCAGAAGCCCCTGAATTTACCAAGTGTAAATTCTATTCATTTCCTGCAGAGGAAGGTTTGGTGATACATACCTAGACAGGAGATAGGAACATTGTTTGAATACAGGAGCTGGAGATCTCATCTCAAAAACCAAAACAGAACCCTCCCAATAGCAGGCAAGCGATTCCAGGGGCGGACAAAGGGGTCACTCTATTGGCTGGGGCAACGGACTGCAGGGAGGTGAGCCAGGTGGATGTGGTCTCTTGGGGCCTCTATGCTTTGTTCCTCTTCTGAGAGGTGGTTGAGCACGTTATTTCTTTTTTTTTTGGTCGGCTGTGGGGCTTGAACTCTGGGCCTGGGCTCTGTCCTTCAGCTCTTCAGCTCAAGGCGAGCACTCTACCACTTGAGCTACAGCGCCATTTCCGGTTTTCTGGTGGTTTATTGGAGATAGGAGTCTCATGGTCTCTCCTGCCCGGGCTGGCTTTGAACCAAGATCCTCAGATCTCATCCTCCTGAGTAGCTAGGATTACAGGCGTGAGCCACCAGCGCCCGGCTGAGCACATTATTTCTAATTATAAAAATTCATCATACCAGCTGGGTGCTGGTGGCTCACGCCTGTAATCCTAGCTACTCAGGAGTCTGAGATCTGAGGATCTGAAGTCAGCCTGGGCAGGAAACTCCATGAGACACTCATCTCCAATAAACTACTCAGAAAAGGCTGGAAGTGGTGCTGTGGCTCACGTGGTAGAGGGCTAGTGTTGAACACAAAAAGGTTCAGGGTCAGTGTCCATGCCCCAAGTTTAAGCTTCAGGATTGGGGGGGAAAAAAAAGCTTGTTTTTGGCAGAATTTTCTAGAAGCATGCACTTGAATGGAGATAAGCTCTTACCTGAGGACAGCTTCCCCTATGGCCATCACAAGAAGGCTGCCCTCAATCAAAGCGATGTCTGCCCGGTGACCAGTTTTCCCACTCAGCTTCACCTGTATGAGGATAACACACCTGAAGGAAGCCTGTGACCCCCCTGCTGAGATGCCAGCTCTAGATTCTGTGAGCCTGGCATCGGGGCTTCAGATACACCAGGTGGAGGGACCACAGGACAAACCATGCAAACGGAGATGTGAACTTGTTTTTCAAGATGTATAGGTGAAACAAACAGCAACTGGCTTGCCAGGTGACGGTGGCCCAGTATGTGGCCCATGGCAGGCATCTCTAGGGTGCTCTCCTCAGTCCTCACAATGTGTCTAGGCATGTCTCACTACTGCTATCTTGCTGAGAGCCATGCTGCCTGGAGAAGTCCCCTGTCCCCACTGGCCAGTGACTGAGTAGGTACTTTAAAGCCAATGCTATGGCCTGAACTATGTTCTCCAAAATGTATACACTGAAGCCCCAACCACTCATGAGAATGTATGCAAAGACTGGACCTTTAGGAGGGAATTAGGCCCAGTGAATTCCTAAGGGAGGATGGAGCCCTGGTGCAGCGAGAGGTGGCATTCTGTCATGCTCCACGGCGTGTGAGCTAGCCCACTGAGTGGCTGCAGTCCAGGAGCTAGTGCAGGCTCCCCCGATACTCCTTCCACTTACTCAATTACTGGAAAACCTTCTGTTTCCCTTACCTGTATGGGCTGACCTACCCATGGTAGAAAGTAAGCCTGAATAGCCAGTTTAGCTGGCCCTGAACCATGGCTGCAGCTGTCCAGTCTTGCTCATCAAGACAGAAAGGACACTCAAGGTAGGCACGAGACCTTGGCCCCCAATTCTCAGCATGAGCCCCTTTCCTACTTGCCTTCATCACTTCTTCAGCCTCCCCCTCGGGTGTCACCACGTACAGGGACAGTAGAAGCTTCTCTGTGACCACCACCAGTGCCTCTCTCTTCTCAATGTAGAAGAGCGTCTGGATAGCGCTGTCTGTGGATGCCACCTGCGTGGTCTTACCCTTCTCATCCACATAGTGCACCGACCCTGGGGACAGAGGAGGGTCACTTTAGGGGCCCTGGCTTATCTGTGTTTCCATGACACTCACACGCAGCCATTTCTATCTACTTAAGGACAGTTCCAAAATAAGACATCTTCATTATAAGAATTTAGAAACAGCACATTTGATGGTCTGATATCTGTTTTATCGGCCTAGGTGTCCCTGTAACTCCTTTCCCATTGCTCTTGTGGAGGGTGGTGGTGTCTGCTGACTACACTGGTTCTACAGCTTAGTGACTCATGTCATCGCTGTTGCTACTCAGGTTTATCCACACCCTCCCTATACCTGTGCTTTCATGGAAGGCCCTTCCTGTCCCACTGCTGCTGTGCTGCTGGTGCGCTCCCTCACTTCTCCTTGTCTAAGCTGTAGAAGGCAGCTTAGAGAGAAAGTCCTAGAGTGGCCTTGTTCAATGTCCGGATTTCTCTGCCTCCTGCCCTCCATTAGACTGTTGCTCCAACAACAACTAGCCTTGTCTTGGCGTCCTTTCTTCCCTCCTGGTGTTTAACTGTGGTGGTGAGACCAGTTCAAGGATCGGGGATTGCTGTGGCTCATGCAAAACTTGACTTACTAAATAGAAAAATTCAAGATTCTTGGCTAGGGCTGGGAAGGTGGCTCAGTGGCAGAGTGCTTGCCTTGCATGCATGAAGCCCTGGGTTCGATTCCTCAGCACTATATAAGCAGAAAAAGCTGGAAGTGGTGCTGTGGCTCAAGTGGTAGGGCACTAGGAGGAGCTGAGGAACAGCGCTCAGGCCCAGAGTTCAAGCCCCATGACCAACACCCCCCCCCAAAAAAATGATCTAGGCTAGTTAGAATAATAACTGTTACTAAAGTCCTGACCAGACTTCTCTTAACAGGCTTTACTCCTGTAATCACAAACCCTGTTCCGCACCGTCGGTCAGACTGACAAAGAACGACAGCCCATCTTGAGATCCCATCTTCAGCAAACTTCCAAAGCCACTTTTCCTCCAGTTAAACATGTCCAAGGCTTTCTCATCACCACTCACTGCTGCCTTTGCCAACTGAACCAAGTCTCTGAGAATAAACAAAAAGGCAGTCAGTGATGGTGCACCTACTGCAGAAATGAACTCTGCCTTGCTGAAAGAAAACAAACAAAAAGAACTCAGGATTCCCTTGAGTGACAGGGGGCGGCTGGGAACCACCCTCCCTCCAGTCAGGAGCCGCACCCCTGCCTTCAGAACAGAGGAGACACACCAGATGCTCAGGAGTCTCAGGCTTAATACTTACTCGCCAGGAGGGGGCAGCCGGAAGATGCAGTGGGTGAGGTGCTTCCCATACTCATGCTTCAGCAGGGGTGTCCCCTGCACACGGCCCCGCTGGTCCAGTCTCCACAGGAGCAGGACACCAAGCTGCAAGACACCAATTGCATGGGTGAGCAGACATCTTTATAGAATGGACTAAGAGGAGGTGAAAGGTCAATGACCCAGCAAAATACAGGCTGGTCCCTAGCTCAAGAAATTAGAGCTAGGTGTCAGTGGCTCAATCCTGTAATCCTAGCTACTCAGGAGGCTGAGATCAGTGGATTGCGGTTCAAAGCCTTCCTGGGGCAGAAAGTCTGTGAGACTTTCTTCTTCTTGTTCATAGACTTTTCTGTCCAGGCTGTGGCTCTGAACTGAGATCCTCAGCTCTCAGCCTCCTGAGTACTAGGATTATAGCCAGCAGGCACTGGCTTCTGAGTTTTTTTCCTCCCCCTTTTACTGTCAAGGTGATGTACAGAGGGGCTACAGTTACATAACTAAGGTAAGAAGTACATTTCTTGTCAAAACTTGTTACCTCTGATCTGAGACTCTCATCTCCAATAAATACTCAGAAAAAGCCAGAAGTGGTGCTGTGGCTCAAGTGGTAGAGCACTACCTTGAGCACAAAGAGGCTCTGGGATACAGCCCAGGCTCTGAGTTCAAGCCTCAGGACCGGTAAAAAATAAAGAAAAAGAAAAAGAAAATTATGGAATAATTACATGTGTACCATGGAATAAAAACTATTCAAAAGAAAAACAATCAGAAACTCTTCTCTGCATCTCCTTTTATCACTTGGAGATAGCAAGTATTATTTGTTCAGCTCTTTATAATGCACTGTTAATTTTGGACTAGATTCCAGTTACTAAAAACAGTGAAATTTACATTTATGATAGCCAGTTTTCCCTATCATTACATTACAAATAGTACTAGTACATTTTTATAATTTGTACAAGTGTACAATAATTATGGTACGTTTTTAGAATAAACTGATATTACATTATTATTAACTAACGTCCACACTTCACTCTTAAATCCTTTTTAAAAAATTTTTTTTGCCAGTCAGGGCAAAAAAACTCAGGACCTAGGCACTGTCCCTGAGCTTTTTTTATTCAAGGCTAGCCACATCACCATTTCTGGCTTTCTCTGTTTATGTGGTACTGAACCCAGGGCTTCATGCATACTAGGCACTGTACCACTAAACCACATTTCCAGCCCTTATTTATTTATTTACTTATTTATTTATATTTTTGTTGTCATAGAGCCTGAACTCTAGGCCTGGGCACTGTCCCTCAGCTCTTCAGCTCAAGGCTAGTGCTCTACCACTTGAGCCACAGCATCACTTCCGGCTTTTTTTCTTGCTTATGCGGTGCTGAGTAATTGAACTGAGGGCCTCATGAATACAAGATAAGCACTCTACCACTGAGCCACCTTCCCAGCCCCTCCAGACCTCTTTTAATAAATCTGTTGTTTCTTTTTTTTTTTTTGGTTTGTCATGGGGCTTAAACTCTGGGCCTAGGTGCTGTCCTTCAGCTTTTCAGGTCAAGGTGAGCGCTCTATCACTTGAGCCACAGTGCCACCTCCGGTTTTCTGGTAGTAAATTGGAGTTAAGAGTCTTATGGACTTTACTGCCCTGGCTGGCTTTGAACCATGATCCTCATATCTCAGCCTCCTGAGTAGCTAGGATTACAGGTGTGAGGCCACTGGCACCCAGCAATAAATCATTTTTAAAAATTGTACTTAAAGTTAGGGCTGGTAGTATGTGCCTATATTCCTAGTTACTCAGGAGGCTGAGATCTGAGGATCATGGTTCAAAGCCAGCCTGGGCAGGAGAGTCCTTGAGATTCTTTTTTTTGTCAATCGTGGGGCCTGAACTTTGGGCTTGGGTACTGTCTCTCAGCTCTCTCAGCTTAAGGCTTGTGCTCTACCATTTGAGCCACAGTGCCACTTCTGGCTTTTTCTGCTTATGTGGTGCTGAGGAATTGAACTCAGGGACTCATGCATGAAAGGCAAGCGCTCTACCACTGAGCCACCTTCCCAGCCCAGTCCTCAAGATTCTTATCTGCAATAATCTACTAAAAAAGCCAGAAGTGGAGCTGTGACTCAAGTGGTAGAATGCTAGCTAGCTCTGAGCAAAAGAAGCTCAGGGACAGCACCTAGGCACTGAAGTCAAGCCCCAGATTGTACATGCAAAAAAAAAAAAAGAAAGTAACATTTAAAAAAACTAATGGTATCTGGGACCTTCAGACATCTCTATAAATGCAATTTCCTAGCAAAGTATTTTTTTAAAATTATGGACATACATTGACCATAGAATGTGATCTTAGAAAGACAACTTTAAGACTTGCTTCTGAGATAAAGTAAAACAATTTGAAACGATATCTCACAAGATCAGCTCTATCTGGGAGCCTGGCCTTTAGCACGATTTGCCTGTTGCATCCTTAAGAGCATGGTGGGAGATGGAGACTGAATGTGCTTACCCTGTCACCAGACACCAGGCAGCTCCCACTGGTGCTCCAGCTGAGGATGGTGATGTCGGCACTGTGTGTTGTGGGCACTGTGTGCTGCTCCTTGTCCTGCTTGTTAAATACTATCACTTCTCCAGTCTCCCAGCCGATTGCCAGGACCAGCCGTGTTGGGTGCCAACAAAAGGAAGCGACCCGGAAGGACCTCTCGATGTGTGTGTCTGGCACAGGCTCACCCTATGTTGGATGAGAAGAAAAATTCTGTATTATAGATATTGGTGGCTACTTAAACAATTTCTGCCTCTGGGAATGTAGCTTAGTGGTACAGTGCTTGTCTAGCATGAATGAATCCCTGGGTTCGATTCCTTAGTACCACATAAATAGAAAAAGCCAGAAGGGTGCTGTGGCTGAAGTGGTAGAGCATGAGGCTTGAGTATAGAGAGGCTAAGGGACAGAGCCCAGGCCCTGAGCTCAAGCCCCAGGATCAGAAAAAGAAACAACAACAAGAGTCTCTGCCTCTAACATCAAGAAGCTCAAAGATGCAGCTAAATTTCATGCCTGGTGCCGTTGGCTCAGACCTTTAATCCTAGCTACTCAGGAAGTTGAGATCTGAGGATCACAGTTCAAAGCCAGCCCTTAGCAGGAAAGTCCGTGAGACTCCAACCTCCAATAAACCACTCAGAAAACTGGAAGTGGCACTGTGGTTCAAGTGGTAGAGTTCTAGCCTTGAGCTGAAGAGCTGAGGGACAGCGCCCAGGCCCAGAGTTCAAGCCCATGAGTGACCAAAAAAAAAAAAAATAAAAAAAAATTCAAGAACACCAAGGGCTGATGGCAATAATAGAAGCTAAGAGGTCACAAGACAGACCATGGCCCTACCAATACCTGGATGTTAGACTTTTGGTCTTTTTTTTTTTTTTGGTCTGGTTGTGGGGCCTGAACTCTGGGCCTGGGCACTGTCCCTCAGCTCTTCAGCTTAAGTCTAGTGCTCTACCACTTGAGCCACAGCACCATTTCTGGCTTTTTTCTTTTTGCTTATGTGGTGCTGAGGAATGGAACCCAGGGCCTCATGGATGCAAGGCAAGCGCTCTACCACTGAGCCACCTTCCCTGCCCAGACTTCTGGTCTTCATAGCTGTGAGAGAGAATGAATTTCTATGCTTTAAGTCACCCAGTTTGTAGTAAGATGTTAATTGAACCACAGTAAACTACTCCAGTTTCAAATGGTAATGCGAAGTGGAAGACAGAGCTAGAACTGACAAGACAAGGGCTAAGTATCCACAGACCATGGAAATTAACCACTAATTGACTGTGGAACCTGTCTTAAACATTTCTAATCACATACTCAAACCTAAATGGCAGTGGTAAAGAACTGCCCCCAAATCACAGAATTCATGATATTGGAATATGAGCCTAGATGAGAATGGATGAGGGAAAAACTAGAGCAAAGCAAATCTAATATATCTTCCCCCAGCCACCCCCTACTCAAGAACAAAGGAAATACAAGAACCAGAAGCTACTACAGTCAGCGATGTAGCTCCAGGGACTCACTTGTTCCAGGTAGATGTCCACACTTCCTCCTGACATTGTGCCAGTGGAGGCCACTGCCAGGAATGGGTGGACAGGGTGCCAACTGATGTGGGACGGAGACCCAGCTGCATCTGGGGCTTGGATTCGGTGATCAAAATAGAGGGCCATGACAAAACACAGGCCTAGGCAGGGCTGAAACCTAAGGGGCAGAGAGAATTAAAAAGAAAGAAAAGAAAAGAAAATCAACTAAGCAGAGATACATTAAAATTACAAAAAGGAAGCAAACTTACCATCATGATACATTTGACAGCTTAAAATAGCTCCTTTGGATAACTATTTAGAAGACAACTTTGTTTGGAAGAGTTAACAGAGAAAAACAAAAATGAGAAGCAATTGGATATGAAATGACTTTGGATATGATGGAAAATAAAGTGCATATCAGCAGAGGATGGAGAGCATGAGAGCAAATAAGCTAGCACAAAAGCCCAGACTAGAAATACAATTCTTGATAACTTTTATTCCAGTAGTAAGGACGATTTCAATTTCTATAGCTGCCTTTAAAACAAACTGCCCGGGGCTGGGAAGGTGGCTCAGTGGTAGAGCGCTTGCCCTGCATGCATGAGGCCCTGGGTTCGATTCCCCAGCACCACATAAGCAAAAAGAACAAAGCCGGAAGTGGTGCTATGGCTCAAGTGTAGAGCGCTAGCCTTGAGCTGAAGAGCTGAGGGACAGCGCCCAGGCCCAGAGTTCAGGCCCCACGACCGGACCCAAAAAAAAAATAAAAAATAAAAATAAAACAAACTGCCCACAAGAGGGTCTCCAAAAAAAAAAAAAAAAGAGCATTCCTGTCCTTTACAGAAAGCATAAAACCTCAAGGATGTTGTCTAGTTCCAACTCCCAAGTGGTATAGAACAGAAATATTTCCTTGTTGGAGAAATCAGAAACACAAGCCAAAGTAGCTGTAGGAAAGATGGACCTGATTTACTACAAGAACTTAATCAGTGGCATTCTATTAGCGTCCCCAGGAAACACTCTTCCACCGAAAACTGGCAAATACAGAACTCAGGGGGAAAGGAAAAGCATTTCACTATTCTATTTGCTTGACTCCCCTCATCTTCATCTTTAGGGCCTAAATGTGTCCCTTAAGGGGGCTTTTTGGGAAGAATGCTGCGCTCAGCGGGTTACTTCTCGATGACAATGTCAGGGACTCAAGGATGGGTTCCAACATAGGCTTTCGGGGGCGGACACCAGTGGCCACCCTCTGTCTAGCCCTCTAGGACGGCTCTGGGCACCTATCTGACGTCTGAAGAGCAGGAGGGGTGGGGCGGGGGAGCGGTGCAGCGTCCCCAGCTCCAGGGTTCCCCTACCCCCCTTCCTTCCAGTGCCCGAGGCTGGTGCTGACCGCTCCACACATATCCATCCACCCCCCCAACAGCAACTGGTGCCAGTCGGGGTGCCTAAGACTGGTGGGGAGTGACTTCGGGAGCCAAACTCGCCACGGAGGAGGAACCCGAGGCCCGGTTCCTGTCCTCCCCGGCCTCGGCAGGCCCGAGTCCCGCGGGCCGGCCTCCAGCCTCCGCCCTGGCGGGACCCCGGCCCAGTCCTGACCTCTGCAGGCCCGTCCGCAGCCCCCCTCGGACTCGGCGCGGGCCCAGGGCACTCACCTGGGGAGGGACCACGGCGCTGCCCGCGTTGCCCCGACAACGCCGCGCGACCAGGCGGAAAGAGCCGAAGGCGGCCGGCCGCGTCCGACGCGCCTCCCAGGCGCGGCCCCGCCCCGGAGCCCGGCGGCGGCGGTTCCTCTTCAGCTCCCGCAGCGCGGCCCTAGCGGCGTCCCGCTCCCCGGCGCGCTCTCCGGGTTTCGCTCACCCGCCCCAGGTCCCTGCGGCCCACCGGCGGCCTAGTTCTGGCGCCGAGCTGCGACCCGAGGCCGGCACATCCGGGGCCCGGTCGGCGCCGTTCTCTCGCGGCGCGCCCTCGGCCCATCAGGCCGCGCCCGCGCCTCTGGCGTGCGAGCCGCAGGCCCAGCCTCGAGGCCGCGGCGGGCAGCTGCGCGCCTCCCAGCTGGCGTCCAGTCCGCCAACGGCCGGTGAGGTGCCGGACAGCAGACGCGGCGACGGCACGTCCGCGCCGGCGGGCCAGAGGGCTGAGGGGCGCTGGGCTCGCCTGCAGGGGGGGACCCTAGCTTTCAAACCTCGGTCTGGTAAACACTAGTTTCAAGAACTCCCTCAACGCCATGATGAGGGGAGGGAAAAAAGTGACACGCCACACCGCGGCGTGCGAAGCCTCTCACCCGCTCCCCACCCGGGTTCGCGCGCGATTCAAGACGCCGCGTTGAAGCGGCGACTTCTCACGCATCCGTCAACACGGCGGCAGCCAATCGCAGCCAGGGTGCTGAGCCCATTGGCTGTCGTTCCACCAATCAGAAGCGACGCACGGGCGCGGGGCCGGAGTCACAACACGCCTGGCGTCGCGAGCCGTCCCCGAATCCCGTGCGTGAGAGCGCGCTCGCCCGCTCTGGGCCAATGGTAGCTCGCCCTGGGGGGCGCGTCCGCCGGAAAGCTCCTGCGTGCTCGCCCCCGTCCGGGACGCCCGCCCCGCCCCGCCCCGGAGCCGTCTCGGTGTCTCCGGCGGCAGCGGCAGCCGGAACTGTGCTGCGATCGGCGGTCCGGGCCTCCGCGGCCGAGCAGCGGCGGTCTGGGCGTCCGGGGCCCCGTCAGCTGCGAGCCAGCTCGCAAGGCCGGACGTGCGGGGCCCACATTTCTCGGTGACTGCGGCCGGTCCGCGGCCATCCGCCCCGCGACGCGGCCTGGCCGCAGCTGCCCGGCCCGGCCAGTTCTGCGGGCGCCCGCGGAGGCCTGGGGGCCCGGGAAGCCAGGCTGCGGCGGGGCGTGGATGAAAAAGGTGACCGCAGCCTGCGTTCGGAAGTCGCCGGGGAGGCCGCGCGGCGCGCGCGGCTCGGGGGCCCGCGGGGGGGGGCGCGGGGCGCACGGGGCCCGCGGGGCTGAGGGGTCGCGCCGCGTGCCGCCGAGCCGTCCCGGCCCTCGGGGAGGTGCGCGCTTCTCCCACCCGGGAGCGGCACGGAGGGTGTGGAGCGGGGCCGCGGCCCGCCGTCCCGGCGCCTCCCACCTTCAGGAAGTGACGGACTCCCGCCCGAGCCGCCGCCGCCGGGACGCGGCCTGGCGCACGGGCGAGCGCCTCCCGTGCCGGCCGGGTCGCGCGAGGAGGGTCCCGGGCGCCCCCACCCCGGGCCCCAGGAGCAGGCGCGTGGGGACCTGGCGCTCGGGTAGGTGGAAGTGAGTTGGGCCGAGCGAGCCCGGGGTCGGGAGCCGTGGGTTCTGCCCCGGCCCGGGTGTGCGTCCTCGGTTCTCCGTGGTGGTCTGGAGCACACACGGTCAGCGCTCCTGCTCGGTCGAGTCAGGGTTCGGAGCGACCCCGTCCAGCAGAGGGCGAACCCCGTTTCGTGGCCGTTCGCCCCGGAGTCGCGTGCCGCTGTGCCTTTCTGCCCCGGTCCGGGTCTTTGCGGAGGGACCCCGGCCGCCGGGCGTCCGCCGCGGTGCGGAGTCGGTTCCTGTCGCGGGGTCGCGTGCGGGTCTCCCCGGTGAGTGGGGACGGGCGCGGCCGTCGCCCCGTCTCGCCGGCCCGGTCGGCGGGGCGCCGGTCCCCGCTCGCCCCTGCGGTCCTCCCCGGGCGAGGGTCCCTGCGCCTCAGGCCGCCCGCCTGGCGTTTGGTTGCGGACACTTGGCGCGGCGGGTCGCGGGCGTCTGTCCCTCGGGCTCCTCGCGCCCCGGCCCGGGCGTGGCCGAGCCGACCCTTTCCCGGGTGTCCCCAGCCGGTTCCGCGCAACAGGCTCTTTGTGGCTCAAGCTTTGCGGTCCGCCGCCCGGGCGGGTCCCGCGCCGCGCAGCCCGAGCCTCCGCGGCCGGCGCGGGCCGTTGCGCGGGGCAGGTGCGCGCCGGGACCCCGCGCGTCTCGGGCGGGGCGGGCGGGCCGCGGGCGAGGGCCGGGCGGCTGCGTGCGGCGCGGGAGCGAGGAGGGGCGCAGGCCGGGCCCGAGCCTCGGCCCCGCGGGGTGGGCGGCGGGACGGCGGCCCCCGGGGTGGGGGCTGAGGCGGGCCGGACGCCCGGCGGGGTCGGGCTGCCGATCCGCCGCGCCCGGGGCGGCCGGCCGGGCGGGAGGGGCGGCGGCGCGGGCCGGGCCGGCGCGGGGCCGGGCGGGCCGGGGTGAGGGCCGGGGCCGGCGCCGTGCGGGCCCCGGCGGGCCGGCGGGCGGCGCTGGAACAAACAACGGCCGCCATGTTGGGAGGCCGGCGGTAAACTTCTGCCCGCGCCTCTCACCGCCCCTCGCCTCTCCCGCCGCAGGATGACAGTGAAGTTGGGCGACTCCGGCAGCGGGGAGGACGGGCTCAAGAAGCTGGGCAAGCGGGCAGCCGATGAGGAGTCGCTGGACGTCGAGGGGCCCGGCGGCGCGGACGCGGCCGAGGACGGCAGCGGCACAAAGAGAGACGGCCCGACCCCGCGGGCCGGCGGCGCCCCCGCGGGCCCCGCCGCGGCGCCGGCCTCGTCCCCGCCACAGGGCAGCTCCCAGGACCAGCACCACTTCCTCCGGTCCAGCGTGCGGCCCCAGAGCAAGAGGCCCCGGAAGGACGCGCCCTGCGCCGTGGGCAGCGGCGGCGCCAGCTCGGGGCCCCGCGGGAAAGGTAGGCACCCCCGGGCCGCGGCCCTGCAGCCGCGGAGCCCCCCGCCCGGGACGGCCCTCCGGGAGGCCCCCTCCGCCCTTCCCGGAGGCGCTGCCTGCCGTGTGTGTGCCTGGCCAGGGCGCAGTTCGTGCCCTTCCTTTGGGCAAGTCCGAGAGATGTCCACAGTGCACAGGGTCGCGGCTGACTTTTCTCAGATGGCCACGTAAAACTACAAACAATAGCTTAGGGATGGGGGGAGAAAGTACCTGCTCTGCGGGTCCCCAAACTGTCAGGGGCTGGGAGTGCAACAAAGGAACCTGCTTTGAAAGCTACAGGGGAGGAAACTGGTAAGAAACCCAAAAAGAATGACCAACAACCACAGGAGTGGACCGGTTCATTGTCCCAACACTCAGGTGTTCTTGGCTTGGAAAGTACCAAGGGCGCAGGGAAGGGACTCCCGGTCCTAGTTGGTGCACAGATGTTTGCCTCCCCTCCACCCTACCCCGTGACCCCACTTGAGGCCCCGCTCTGGGGTGCTCATCCTAGGTTGAGGATGTGACTGCTGGACTGGGGCTCCGGGGTCCCCACTGTGGGAATAAGTAAGTCGCATGTCTTGTGTTCCATGTGCTCATACTTCCTCGTCTGCATTGTGCTCTTTTCTTAACAGTGAGGTAAACTGCTCTTAAATTCTTTGGTTTCGAGCCAAGTTTGCAGCACTTTTTAAAAACAGCAAATATCTCACTGACTCCTGGTGTGTTCTGTATGGGGAAAAATCTTTCACTTAGCTCCTTGGACAACATTAAATTTACTCATGGTAATGGTGGTTATAAAAAGAGAATACCTTGGGGCTGGGAAGGTGGCTCAGTGGTAGAGCGCTTGCCTTGCATGCCTGAGGCCCTGGGTTCGATTCCTCAGCACCACATAAGCAAAAAGAAAAAAGCCGGAAGTGGCCCTGTGGCTCAAGGGGTAGAGCGCTAGCCTTGAGCTGAAGAGCTGAGGGACAGCGCCCAGGCCCAGTGTTCAGGCCCCACGACCGGACCCCCCCCAAAAAAGAGGATCCATTTTGCCAGTGTGTCCCATTAAACTCACTGCTATTCACAATTGATGGGGGTGGACCCCTGAATTCCCTGGGATTAGTAACTCAGTGACAAGTTTTGATGTAAATAGTCTTGCTTAAAGATTTAAGTGTGAGGCAACCTTGCTTGTTTCAGAAATTAAAACTTGCCTCATGTACACATAATTCTGGTGTGAAAATCGCTATAGGGTTAGGAAAACTCTGAATTTGTATCATAGCCTTGATTTTTGTTTTTTTAAAAAAAGTATCTTCTCCGCTAGTTACAGCTACACTTGACCTTCTCAGGTCTGCCCTCACGCACGCAAACTCCTTGGCTTGGACCCGGATGCCCACTGGTTCCCCACACCTCCCATCTCCCAGGTCCTCCTACTGCGCTTTGCTTTTGAGTTTGTGTTTCCATCAGAGGTGTGTCTCTGTCGCGCGCCCCCCTCCCCCCCAAAACCTATGAAAGTAGGGATGGGGGCCCCTGCTGTGGCCTTCAGCTGGGGTTGCTGGGAAGAAATGTTGGTGTAAAGGCACTGACTGTAGCGCTACCCCCTGAACATCAAGGAGGGTTGCGGGGTCTTGATGTCCAGGTGGGTTTTGACAGGGCAGTGAAGGGAGGGAGGTGTGCTTTGTTTTTACAGTTGGGAGGCTTACCCAGGTGGAACAGGTTTCTGGTTGACTTGGTGGGTTATTGATGCTTCTGGTCATGATTCTTGCCCCCGGTAGCTTAGAGCCGAGATTGACTTTTCATTGTGTAGTATTTAGTATTAATAAGATGTGTTAGTTGTGCTTCTTGTGACTTCTCTTTTCCAGTTGTAGCAAGCTAAGCTGTAAAGGCTTTCTCCGGAGGGAAGTGGGAAGTGTTGTCCCCTTTGCGTTGAGCACTCTGCCTGTGGGAGCCCTGAGCTTCCTGCTGAGGGCTCCTTGTGATAGGCCCTCCCCACTAGAGGCTCTGTGGACCCTGCAGACCCT